AATAAAAAAATTAAGTCATAATTATAATTACGTCTCAAATATTATAAGGAATTCTGAATATAATTACATTATTAATGACTCAATGAGATACAGAGGCCATGTAATAGAAGTATCCTCAGCATTTTTAACCAATACAATATCCTCATTAAGAAGTATCGGTAACTTGACATTATCATTAGAGCAAATGTCCACAAAAACTCACAATATACTAGGGTGTAATGGAGTTGTATGTAAAGTATCTTTAACAAAATTGTAAACAGTACCCACAACAGTTGTATTTTTTAAGGAAATTTTTGTGTACAATTTGCATTTTGATTTCCCCTAGAAACAAATAAATATTTAGCAATTTATATTGTAAAAATGATACCAACCTTAATAGTTGTCTAGAAAAAGTATTACAAAAGAAAAAGTGGGATGGTTTGACACAGAAGTACAATTATATCTCAAACTAATTGTGTCAGATAATATTGCCTTTCAAATTAAAACTTTTTTTTCTATACTTATCATAAACCTCCATGCCGGTATCCTACATTATCTTTAAATCCTTTATTAAACAAGTCAAATGTACATCTATATTATTTTTGAGTTGTCTAGGTCTAAAAATTAACATAAACAGTATCATAAACCTACGTTTCATGCATAACAATTAAGGTAGTTGTAATTTATTAATATTATCGGTTATGTACTGTGGGTGTTGTTTTGAATACTGTGTGGATTGATTCCATCTGTAAACAATGCAAGCCGAAATTCATTTTTTCATCCCCGAATGCAAGGTACTTAAAGTCATTTTTTTCTACTGAGATGGATATGCAAGGTGCTTAGGCTTTTCATCTTTAATCCTTTCATTCTCATACCATGTCAATAGATTAGCAATTTCTACATTTCCATACATGCGCCTAAATCTCGATATAGTAGGAAAATACTATAGCACTTTTGTAGGACTTGATTTCTTTCCATGTCGTGATACTTTGCATTTAAGGCACTTCTCTAGCAAAGCATACTTATTGCGAAATAAGATGTAATCATTAGGACATGCATGTATTTTCTCATAACACAAACCAATTGAGGAAAGCATTTGTTTAGCCTCGTCTGTCTTGGTGGGAAGTTCATTACCAACTAGAAACATATCTTTTAAAGTATCAAGCAATAGAGTGAAACTCTTATTAGTCCATCCACAAGTAGCTTTCAAACTGTACGATATTAGCACTGCTAATAGTCTAGTATATTTAGTACAACCTGGATACAATGATTCTTCTGAATCACTTATCAATCTTTCAAACATTTGAGAGCAATCACGAAGATCATCCTCTATTGCATTTAGCATGTCATCAAGAGGATCAGTCTCACACATATTATTACTGTCATCATCGCATGCTTCTTGTCTCTCAAAATATCTCATGGTATACACCATTTCACTAGATACATCATTTCTCTCTCTATGCCTTATCCAGCGTGTATAACTTTGACCAATACGGTGACACATTAAATGATCTAGTAACTCGGTCAGAGTAATTTGTTTTTTGTAGTAACAAGTTAAGTAAGAACATAAAATTTTGTTTGGATCTTTTACATGCTCAACTGCAAAACAAATAAACTCTTTCACCTCATCCCTATATTCCTTTGACAACCAATTAACAAATATCTGCTTTCAGTCCATACCTTATACCTATTAATATCTATTGATATCCATAAAGTCAAGTAATAGACAACCATTGATATCTAAAGCAAGTAATTAAAAAAATAAGATATAGTCTAGCCAATTAGAAACATGCCATATGAAAATTGAATTATAGAATTAAAAATAAATCTAAAAAAATTAATTCAATATTTTAAACAAATTCGGCAACATGACGACTTAAAAATGAAAATTTTTCAAGTATTAAACCATCTATTTAATAATTGTAATAACTAAAACAATTAATTTAACATTTTTTATTACATGTAAAATAAATATTCTAGGTAATTTCAAGTCCCAAACAAACACATATATTCAGAATTAAATAAATAATATTCAATAACAATTAAATAAATGAATCAAATTAAATGATAATATATTTAAAATTAAATTATATTTAGAATAATATATATTCAACAATTATTTTTTAATTAGACAAGAAAATATAATTTTTAAAAATAAAAGATAGCATACTCAAAAATTTAAAAAAAAAAAAGCAAACCGTGAGAATGAAACATGATGAAGCACAAACTGTCAGTGTTAAGAAAACAAAATTGAGAACACGAGCTGAAGACCAAGGCATTGGCAGAAATTAAAGGGACCACAAGTCAGGGAAATTTTAAAGTGGATTTGTGGGGATGGGAAAAAATATAAATCTAACAATTCAATGTGGGGACCTTGGGAAGCATATACAGACAGAGTTGAAAGAAAATAAATGGTGCGGAGAGAGCTAATCTTGAAGCTAATAAGCTAAAGGTAGCAACCCGAGGGCGAAACTGTGGGCAAGAACACACGAATGAAAGAGACAACTGTGGAGCTTTGGGCGAGGAGCTGAGGGGGAGGCGAGCTAAAGGAGAAGAGACTATGGTGGGCGCATGAGCTGAGGGGGACGAGACAAGGGCACGGGGACAATACACAAAAGAGTTGAGGGAGACAGACAAAAGTTAAGAGCAACAATTCGAACAGCACAAGTGACCTATGGAATAGAGGGACAATAAACACATTTATTAGAGAGGTGGCATTTCCATACCTCTCTTCCAGCATTTATTAAAAAAAATATAATAATAAAATACTTAGTTATTTAATATAAAATAATTAATTAAATATCCAATAAAATGCCACTTGTATTATTTTTAAAATAAAATAAATATTAAAAAAATAATAATTGATTATTAAATAGTTTATATTATGTTTATTTTTTAATCACATGAAACTAATTATTTACTAAATTCAATTAATTATGTTATAGTTAAATACTTATTTATGTAATATAATCATTAATACTGATTAAATATATTTTAATTATTTATTATAATTGAAAAAATAATCAAATAAATAAATTATTAAATAAAGTATTACTTTTTATAGAATTAATTGATTCAAACATCACTTAATCATAAACTTAGATAAATACTAATAAAATATTATTTTTTATTTTACTATTGTATTATTTAATTTGTAAATTACTAGAGAGGTGGCGTTTTTAATATAAGGAAACGCCACCTCTCTTCTACTATTTATTACAAAATATAAACTAATAAAAATTTTAATTAATTAAAATATAATAATTATTTAAATATTCAATAAAATAGTAATTGATTATATTATATTATATGTATTAATGATTAAATGAACAACAACAGTATAATTATCACATGTTATTGGATTAATTAATTCAAATATTAATAAATCATAAATTCAGAAAAATTGTAGTAAAATACTACATTTTATTTAAAAAATACATTATTTAATATATAAAATATTAGAGAGGTGGTGACTCTGAGTAAGCTTGAACTTATAGAAAAGCTGAATAGTCAAGTTTGGCCTGGCCCTCTTCAGGCTTTGAGCTGGCTTGAATACTAAAATTATCAAATTTTTATTTAATTTTTACTTTAAAATTAATTATTTTTATTTGATAAAAATGTAAAATATATTTTTTGGGATACTTAAAATATGTAAAAGACTCAATCTTTTAAAAAATATATGTGGTTCTTCAAATTTTAAAATCAATATTAAAATACATTTTAAATATTATTCTCAGATATTTTATAGACTAATAAAAAATGATATTGTAAATATTTTTAATTTTTAAAAAATATCTATAATAATATACTTAAATATATGATATTTTAGTATAAAATGATCTAAAATTTATAAATAATTAATTAATATTCAATGTATTATACCTGTTTATTTAAAAATGATGTTTTATTTACGTATTGGAGCTTATTTGAACTTGATTGGGTTTGGCTTGAATATTAAAAGAGCATTAATTTTTAAACTTGATCCTAAATTTGTTCAAGTTTATTGGGGCTAACTCATTAGGTTTGGCTTAAATTAAGGATTTTAATATAACCTCATGTGATGGGAATAACGAGGTAAGATGGTTTGTTGAGTTTTTATTTTTATCAAGTGGTTTGTTAAGTAAAAGCTTAGGTTGTTGGCAAAACGTTAAAAAAAGTACAAGTTTATGTTCGAACACACTTACGAAACAATTAAAAAATCTTACTAGACATTGGGCACGACTCTTAGCTGAGAATGGATTGTTTTGTTTTATTTAATTGTTATGTATTTAAAATAGTTCTCAACAATTCGGTGTCCTTGTATTGAAAAAAAAGTAGTGCTCAACGTAAGAAAGACTAAATCGGCTTTTTAACCACGAGAGCGCGTATTTTGACAATTAATCCTTTCTACCTGTATGTAAAATTTAGCTAACTGAAGAACAGGCGCCAAAGATGCATGCACACTATATGTAAATGGACAAAAAGGGAAACAAAATTTGTATGATCGGAACCGGCACATGTGTTTAGAGAAAAGAGGGAGGGAGGTTGAGAAGATCTAACACAATCGGGTTAACTATGATGGTGCCAACCAAGACAGGAAATAGAATAAAATAGCACTTTGTCCAATTACCAAACAGCCTTTACAGGTTACAAGCATGTACAACTTGAACTATATGACTGAAGGCCTCTTTATTCTATAGCGCGCGCGCGCGCACATATATATATATTTTAAATACAGTATCAGAGACTGGAAACTTTAGGCGTATATATGGTTGTAACTTATATACCATCGCTCATATCGCACGGAAAGTTAGCCACAGCAATATCAGGCTATTAACAAAAACCAAAGAAGAGCCCGAGCCCTGTGATTCGGACAAGGGCACATTTGTCATTTCATCGTTACCGTTTTCGCAAGCGTGGTAATGTTATATCCCCGAACCCTCCATGTCGATTGGGCATGGGCCTCAAGTTTACAACCTGCTGCTGCACCCACAGAATTCGAAACTCGCTTTAGAACCAGAACACCCACCAAAGAACTCGGCTTTGCGCAATGCGCACTCCCAGTGTTTATGTGTCACGAAATGTATGGCCTACTGTTTGACGTGTCATCTCATGGCGAGGCATGCGCAAATATGCCTTCGGTGCACGTTAGCATGCGCCTTTATATTTTTACGGTTTCCAACGTCCAGCAACATTCCTCATATTACAACCCTTTCTGCTTGAAATACTCAACGTCACGACCTGTCAACTGAAGCTCACAAATATTTCCGAGTCGCTCTCTCAGCGTTTCTCTTTATCTATCCTCTCCACCGCCTTTGATATCTCGACTAGTTAGTTGTTTTAGCTTATTAGGGGAAGCTCCCCTGTGTTTCAGAACGAGATCGTTTCTAAGTCGGCACCTTTTCAAAATTCTTAAATTAGATATCTACTCGTGACGCTTGATTTCAATCCTGGATCGAGCTTCAAGTGCCTGACGATCGGTTCTTGTGATATTATATCAGGTTTTTTTTTTTTTTTGTGCAGGGGCGAAAGATTAGATTGTAACAGGGCAGAAAAATTAGTACATTTTAGATGATTTTCTATTGAAGAACTTGATCGCTGTTAAAGCGGCAGAGGGAGAGGTTGTACTGTCAGTAAGGTTGTGGTTTTAAGGAAGAGGAACGACGGCGGCGGCGGCGGCGGAGAAGAAGAATAGCTTGCACGTGAGTGCGTGCATCTGTGGTTGTAGGGTGGTGTGGGTGGGTGGTTGATCTGATTCTCTCGGGAGGCTCGTGATAATGCCTCACAGAGCGACTTACTTTTTCCCGAGGCAATTCCCGGAGCATGGGTTGGATGAATCTTCGAAACAGCTATTAGATCACGAGAAGCAGAGAATTGTCAACTCCATCAAATCAGAAACCTTTGACGTTGAAAGCGACCCTAAAAAGGCACTTACAACAACTACTGCCGCAACAACAAAGGACGATGTCGTTTTCCCGTCTGGGAAACACTCAGCTTTATCCGACCTTTTCACGGGCAATGACAAGTTCAGGGCCAAGCAGAAGCAAGTTGCTGCTTTCCGCAACTGGTTGATAGAGAAAAAAGGGGATAGATCGGGTCACGTGAAACCACACTCCTGCCGGTTATCCTGTGAGGAGGACCGCGAGCTTCTGCTTCCGTCGGAGTCCGTGCCGCCGCCTCCGCCACCGGAGACAGTGAAAGATGCAATCATCCGGAGTTTTGACCGCCAAGTCTCGTTGCCGAGGTTATCCAGCGGCAGTAGCTATGCTGGGAGCTTGTTCTCGGGGACAACGTTGGACGGCAATTTTTCAAGCGACATTAAGGAGGAAACTACGTCGTCTCGGGTCTCCACCACAACAAGAAGACTGGAGGAAGAGGAGGAAGAAAGTAAGGAGACGTTGGCGCAGAAGTGCAAGGAGAGATACTGCCTGCAGATCACGCTGGCTAAGAGACTCACCTGTCTAGCAAGTCTTACTGCTGATGAGCCTGTGCTTACTTTGGACGCTGGAATAGAGACGTGGGATGTGGAATCCGTTTCTTATCGTCTCTGGGTACGAAACTTACATTTTCTCCACTCTACTTCATCGATGTTATGACGGTGTTGTAGCTCAGCTTAATGCCTTGATAACTTCGTGTAAAAGATATATCAATATGGCCTCTATACAAAACAGAAGATTCTGCTGGGCTTTTATGATTTTTTGAGCATCTTATCTGAGTCAATACGTTTTTCAGGTTAGTGGCTGCTTATCGTACTCTGACAAAATATCTGATGGTTTTTATAACATCTTGGGGATGAATCCATATCTATGGGTGATGTGCAATGAACTGGAGGAAAGTAGGCGGCTCCCACCTTTGATGGCGCTTAAAGCAGTGGAACCAAGCGACGCTTCTATGGAGGTGGTCCTTGTTGATAGACACGAGGACTCTAGGCTAAAGGAACTTCATGATAAAGCACAAGAGTTGTATTGTGATTCAGAGAACACCTTGGTATTGGTGGAAAAACTAGGAAAACTTGTTGCGATATATATGGGGTAAGTTGGAGCGTTCTCTTTTCCTAATAACTACTGGAATCTGGAAATGTTTTTTTTTTTATATTGAGCTTTTTTTTTTTTCCGCAATGTGTGAAGGGGTACTTTCCCGGTGGAGCAAGGAGCGCTCCACAAGCAATGGAAGTTGGTTAGTAGGAGATTGAAGAATTTTCAGAAGTGTGTTGTGCTTCCTATCGGCAACCTATCTGCAGGACTTTGCAGGCATCGGGCTATTCTCTTCAAGGTGAAACATGTTTCCTATATGAATCATGCTTCCCATTAATTCATAATAAAGTGTTTAAATTCTGTAATATACCATTTGGTGAAAATTAATCGGAATTTTCTTTTCTGCACTGATGACATGATATAAGCAATCAAGTGTTTTTGATAGTAATAACCATGTGATATACATGAATGGACATCCCCTTAAATTTGAAATATGGCAGACGACCATATTGATCAATATTGGCGTTCTAGATATTTCTGTCTTAACCTCAGAAGTACAATCTAAATCTAATCATTGCACACATCATTTAGGCTTCATCTTTACACCTCATCTGCAGAAGATGGCTGTGATGTGTTTTTCATCTGGATAATTTTAGACGTGTAAAAATGACTTGCTCGCCTGTTGTCTTGTTGATGAATTAGTCATTGTATTTTGATTATGTAAATGCAGAGATTGGCAGATTACATTGGTTTGCCATGTCGTATTGCTCGAGGTTGCAAGTATTGTGCTGCAGATCATAGATCTTCTTGCCTTGTCAAGATTAAAGATGACAGACAACTCTCAAGGTTAGTGTAGTAGCTTTCTTTGCAGCTCTCATTCTTTTGTATGAAATTTGTGATCATCTCTTTTGAAATGCTTTCATTAGCAGGGAATATGTAGTTGATCTAGTTGGGGAACCTGGAAATGTCCATGGGCCTGATTCCTCAATTAATGGAGCATATGTCTGTTCAACGCCTTCCCCATTTCAAATTTCTCATCTGCTGGAGTCCCACTCTCCTTATATTGATGATGCATCAAGTTCCATAGCCAGTTCTGTTGTTCCTGAAAGTCATTTATATTCTGGTATGTGGTGATTCCTCACCAGGAAAATTGTCAATCTCAAGAAGAAAATCATTTAAGGGAGTTTTAATAGCCAATTCGAAGTTTTCAAGTTCAAGTCCTAGGAATGTAATCGGGATAAGTATTTGGTGAAAGGGCTTTGTCGCCTTTTGTGGTCCTGTCTGAGTCAATTGGAATTAGTCTATATATCCCATTAAGTCCTCCGGTTGAAACAGGCTCAGGATAACTGGTCGTCCAATCCCAAAAAGAAAAAAAAAAAAAAAGTAATTCGATACCAATTTCAGGGAAGAACCCAGACGACTGTAGATATACTCTGACCTTCAGGGTGTTAATCACTTCAACTCATTCCCAGTAGGGCATACATAAGCTTACTGACCGGCTCAAGTGCATATGTAAAATATGATGTTTAATTAAGTGACGCAGATGCACACAAATATCTTGTGTTTGTTTTCCTTGATGTATCTTTCTCCAATCAAGTTTAGTGTTGCATCTTACACTTTTTTCTCTACCAACAAACCGGGGAATTTAGCATTTATCTCAGCTTTAATTTGTTTTCTTTTTTGGTCATGTGTCTAAAGTTGATATTAGCTGTTGTCCAATCTTTTGCAGGCTGTACAAAGAGAGATCAACTGGTCAAACGAACTGGTTTGCTTAAATGTTCTGTGAACTTGAATCAAACTCGTGCAGTTAATGTAGAGGAAAGTGAAGTTCTAGGTTCAAATTTGCCTTCCATTCAGGAGGTTGTTTCTGAAGATCTGCATCCAGCCACTGAGGCATTGTTGCATGAATACCCCATGCATGTCGAGGATTCAGTTGTCATAAAAGAAACTTCCAATAATGATGAGATCATTGTAACTGGAAGTCCAGTGGTAAAAGCCACTTCTAAGAAACCCATACTGGGCCCACCCTGCCAGTTAGAACTAGAGTCTGTAGATAGTGGACTTGAAAACCGTGACCATTTTTCTGCTGGAAACATTCCAAGATATTTGAATCTTGAACCATCACTCGCCATGGATTGGCTTGAAATATCATGGGATGAATTACGCATTAAAGAGCGTGTTGGTGCTGGTAATTTTTCTGCATTCCCTGCTTCTTTTTACTGAATCCACATAAAATACTTGTTATCATGGCCTTATTTTTGTGTCAGGTGATTCTGAAATGTTGCTAGTGTTTTCTTCTTTCTGCAGGGTCATTTGGGACAGTGCACCGTGCTGAATGGCATGGATCTGTAAGTCAGAGTGTTTTTTTCAAGACGTTTCCAATACACATTGAATTTTTGGGGTTATAGATGCTGCTTTGATGTAGCCTGTACTCTGTCCTTTCTCATTCTATATCATTGCAATCAAGTTGATGACGTTTATCTTCTAAGACAATTTGATTATATCTTCTAAGACAATTTATATATTTCTTCACATTCTCCATGTATTGGTTATAATAATTTTTTTCACTTTGGTAAATTTATAGTACTTTACAAATTTCTCGCAGGATGTTGCAGTTAAGGTTTTAACAATTCAGGATTTCGAGGATGATCAGTTGAGAGAGTTTCTCAGGGAGGTATGCATTGTTTATCATATCCTTTCACATTGTCGTGCATTTTCAAGCTTCCTACAGTTTTTGGGTGGTTTTCCCATCTTGATGGGTAATTTTCATTCTTTGATTTTCCTAAAAATATAATTATAAACAGTCAATCTGTGAAAGATCAAACAGATAGAATTGATACATCTGTGTGCCATAAATTCAATAGTCTGAGTTGGCCATGAATTATGACCATCGCAAGTTATTATTTGTGGAAGACACCAGTGAAATTGTATTTGATGCAGCCATGCTTAGAAATCTGCACCTTTGTTCATGGTCTGTGAATCAATAGTTTTCACATAATCAGTTTGGGAACTTTTTTCTATAAAATTCGTTTCTGTTGACCCTTCTATTTGGTGAGAGAAAAGAGTAGTGGGTTAAATTCAAGTTGCTATTCACATTCTTCATAGGTTGCAATAATGAAACGTGTCCGCCATCCAAATGTGGTGCTCTTCATGGGTGCAGTTACAAAACGGCCTAATCTGTCAATTGTAACGGAATATTTGCCAAGGTAAAACATTCAAATCTCATGCAGTTAGCTGAAGTAATCAATTTACTTGCATAAAGATTAGAATGTCTTAACTTGTTTGTTTCTGGTATATTTGCAATAGGGGTAGTTTATACCGCCTGATACATAGGCCAGCATCTGGGGAATTGTTGGATCAGAGGAGACGATTACGGATGGCTTTAGACGTGGTCTGTACAAGATCTAGTTATTCTGTTTTATTTATATAACTATCTTGCAGATGGTTTGTGTATGGGTGTGTTTTCTTATTGGTATATTATCTTTTCAGGCTAAAGGGATCAATTATCTACACTGTTTGAGCCCTCCAATCGTGCATTGGGATCTCAAATCCCCAAACTTGTTAGTTGATAAAAATTGGACTGTAAAGGTAGCAAGAATCAGATCAAGCAGTTTCTTTAATTCTTTTTCATGAAGATATTTTGCTATGAGATTATTTAATTTGCATTTCATACTCAGGTGTGTGATTTTGGATTGTCGAGATTCAAGGCAAACACTTTCATATCATCAAAATCTGTTGCTGGAACAGTAAGTATTTCCTACTTCTGTGTTAATAACTGTATCGACTTGTGTGTTTTAGTTCTCTTTGCAAACTCTCATGTGCTCCACTGCATCTTGGCAGTTTGTTTTTATTTTTTAATTTTTGAGTGGCACCTTGAAGTTTGAAAAGAGAGTTCAAACCTTGAAAGGGGTAATTCTATCAATATTTTGCAGGTTGAACTTTTACTTCGCAGTCCTTCAATAAGAGTGTAATTCTCTTGATTTTATTTTCAGCCTGAGTGGATGGCTCCAGAATTTCTTCGTGGAGAACCTTCAAATGAGAAGTCTGATGTTTACAGCTTTGGAGTCATCCTGTGGGAACTTGTGACCATGCAGCAACCATGGAATGGACTCAGTCCTGCTCAGGTAAATTAATGAATATTAGATGTCTAAGTACAAGCAGTTGAAATAATTTACTTCGTGCGCAATTGATAATAAAGAAGCAGGGTCATTTGCAAAGAATTGTTAGCTTTAAAGTAAAAATAATTGGAAAATGCCTACAGTTCAAACAAGTGCTTGCCAAGATGGAGCCCTGAAATTCACAGATGGGTAGTTTAAAATAATGTTTCTGCTGTGAATTCACAGGTGGTTGGAGCTGTTGCTTTTCAGAATCGGAAGCTTGCTATTCCTCCAAACATCTCCCCAGTATTGGCCTCTCTCATGGAATCTTGTTGGGATGAGTAAGTGTGCTTTGGCTCCTACTTTTATTTCTCTGGAAATTCTAGAACTGTTGTTGAGACTGTTGGACCTTTGGTCCATTTAGTCTGATTTTGTTAAGGAATAAACATGTCTAAGCTTATATATTTGATATATTTTTTTAAGGGTTAAAGGGCGTCCTAAATTTTAAACTATTGCGCGAATAACATTCTAGATTTTAAACTCTTGAATTTTTAAACTCTGAACACTGGAAAACCTGCTATCAAGTTATAAAAAACGACCATTACTTTTGTAGTGTGGGGGCTAGTCACACACTGATATGGCAGTCATTCCTCTTCACAAGTGGCATGCTAGCTTGGCAAATTTTGGTCAAGCCGTCTTCTATCTCATTACACACAACAGTTAACGTCTAATTAGTTAACGTCAAGGTTTCAGGTGCGAATTTCGAAGTTGAGAGAAGTTTTTGATCAAATTTTCGTCAAACCATCTTCTCTCCCATCAACATAACAGTCAACATCCAAATAATTAATTTTAGAGTTTTAAGTGCTCAAGATTTAAAAATTGAGGGATATTTTTACACATTTTAAGAGTTTAGAGTAAACTATCACATAATAGTTTAAAGTCTTGAATGCTTATTGACTCCTTTTTTAATCAAATTAGAATGAGTGGATTTTTTTGCCTAATACTCATCTTGATGCTAAAAAGCATTTTTAACTTATTTTTTAAGTTCAAAATATAGTTTTCCCGATTTGATGGGAGAAAAGTACATTAAGCCTATTGCTCTATGACAATGTGTTGTCAATTATTATGATGTTTTGGCCAAAAAAAAACATATATATTATGATGTAGGACCGAGAAAGTACCTTTAGTAGTTTTTCACCTTGATCTTTGATTTATCTTTGATAATGTTACTGAGACCTAAGAGACTAGCGAACTTGGAATTTGTCAACTCCATTATCTGATAGATTGGAACAGGCATCTGCCTGGGATCCACAAGCCTCCTTCATTCTATCAGCGATGTCCTTGACTCGTGATGAGTTTTTACAAGTGCAATCAAATAAAAGTTGAATTTGGATGCTGTGTGTATGAGTGCGTCACCTTTTACAGGGGATCCCCTCCGATAGTTGTATTTTTTTTTTTTTTTTTGGTTGGGGGGGGGGAGTTCCATTTTTTCTTTTAATGAAAAACTGAATATCTACTTAAAAAAAAACAAAAACAGAGAGATAACAAGCTTACAAAACAAAGCAAAAGTCAACTTTCATCATCCTCCATCTCAAGGAGCAACAAAAGTTGGAGGATAATCAAAGATTTCACACACAGTTCAATTTTTGAATAATGCTTATTTATATTGCGCAACTTTGAGGATAACTTTATGATCAAATATGAACGAGTAACATTGAAGCAGATGGACAGGGGTGAGAGTTCTCATTATCAGCAGGAATTTACGAATACATTGTTCCACATGGGTTAGATTTGTTGGGTCCTCTGTGGTAGTTACTTCATTAAAAAAGAAATCAAAAAATGGGGGGTAGTTAAAATATTCGGTCTTCACGATTTTTTTCTGATTCTTGCTTGTTTTTCTTGTTAGTGATCCCAAGAATCGGCCTTCTTTCTCTAGTATAGTAGAATCGCTAAAGAAGCTGCTAAGATCTCCGGCGGAGATGATAAAAATGGGTGGGACATGAACACACTGCCTATAACTGGCTTTCATATTTTGCCGAGTCTGTTGCCCTGATATGGAAGTGTTAAATTAACAAGTGATCTGAACCATGCAAGTCATCTTCCCTGACCGGCACAACCTTTTGGTCGTTCGCGAGTTGCAACTGTATATCTGTTGCTTCTTCCTGCTAACTCATTTCAGAAGGGCATCAATGAAGAGCCATCAAGTTGAAGTTTAGTCATAACTCGAGAGCAACTAGGTGCTATTTAGTTTATTGTTGAATAAGACAACTCTTGACGCCATGCTGTTCTATGGGCAACATGCGATATGAGGACTTTCGAATATTGTAAAAATTTGCAGGGCTGTAATCACCTTGGAATGCACTATTGCTGTCTGATAACAATACACAAGTGTTGTGCTAATCATTTTGATGTTGCAAGCAGTAGACATCCTTTCTCATGCCAGATTAGACGCTTTTTTCTCCTTTTTTTTCCCCCGGATAAATTTGACAAACGCGAAATAGGGTAGCAACGCTTCCAAGGAATTAGATTCCATAATAATTCACATACACCCAACGTTCCGCGCACATTTCAATCCTAATGAACCAGCCCGGAGCTCAGCTTGCGCTTCGTTCCTTAATGTGACATGGCATAAAACCTGGCATGGTATGAAATGAAATTACCAGCATCACTTCCCATCAAGCTCACATATCCTAGCATCTTCTTTCTCGAGGAAGATGCACCAGCACGACTTTAAGCCATTCCTTCTTCGGCGTTTCCAGATATCAATTCGAACTTTCTACTCTTCCTGTCAGACAGCTTCACGGTCTGTCTGATGGAAGCCGTTTCATTCGACTCCTAAATGGGGAAAGGGAAAATGACAACTGAGGACCTTATATTTGATGCTTTGAAATACTTGGCTTTGGATGGCCACGGTTGGGACCATAAATGAATTTCTGATAGGTAGATATTATGTTCTTTTGCACATTATTGAGATTCACAACGCTATATTCTTAGTTTGTGCGTTTCTAAAAACTGGGACCTATATTTAAGGCTAAATCATAAAACCTCAGTTGTTTAAATTGTTGTGAGGATCCGAGATTCTACCTGATCAATATTTTGAAAATGCTAGCACATTTGACAAGAAGAAACAGGAGCAAAGTAGTATGGAATCGAACTTCTTCGCATGTGCTGGAAACCAAACAGGAAATTGGCCCTCGCCGAGGACGAGTGTGCAGATGGCTATTGGCTAGTCATATCGTTTAACAAAGACAAAACCACATCTTGTACCAAAAAGAGATAAAACCACATCCATAAATGAAATCAATGCAATTCTTCACCATCCAGCCACTTCAGTGTAGGCAAAAGTTTGACCAGAAATGACCTGAACTTGTCAACAGCAACAGCATTTCCTGTCATGTCCAACTGCTTCAAGTTCAAGCTTTTAAATACCAAGAAAGCTTCCCAAATATTTGGGGCATTGACGTCGCTGCTAAGGCTTTCAAAAAGATCCCAATCATACTCTTCGGTATGCGACAGTGGAGAAGAGCATAGGTATCGAGTTGTGTCAATAGAGCGTGACCCTATCTCATTATACGAGATATCTAGCACTTTTAGTGACTTCAGCAGTCTAAGAGGTCCAAGAGCAGTAAAACTGCCAATGTTATTGTGACCCAAGTTTAAGCAAGAAAGAAGTTGCATTGCCTCTAATCCTGTCAAAAAGGTTCCATTTTAATCATCAAAAGATATAATTGTCAAAAATGAGTAGCCCAAGGGCTAAAATGTCATGCAGCTTGAGAGACAAGTTTCCATGGGAAAGGGACACAGAGAGAAGGGGAGGAAAAGCTCAAGCAAGAAAAGCAAAATATTCTGTCGCCAGATTAGAGCCAAAATGAAAAAAGAAGAGGGCATTTTAAAATAAAAAGTATCATTCTACCTGAAAAATAAATAAAAAGTATCAATAGTTTTGAATGTCAATAAAAGGACAAGCAGATCTGCGTCACACAATATTTTTAATACATCAAAGTTTACCTTCAATTGATCTAAGTCCGTTGTTGCTGAGGTCTAGCATTTGCACCCACAATAAACATTCAACAGAACCCATCCGTGACAATGATAAATTTTGTAGGCGTAGACAGACATAACCATCGTTAGTCTCTGTGCTGTTTCCATAATGATGGCAGTATAATAGCAAAGACTCCCTAGCTGAAGTTATCTGCAGAACCTCCAAAACATGAAAAGCTAACTTCATTTTAAAAGTTTAATAACCAAAAAGTTCTAACCAGCACCATGAAGTGAAATAGAAGTATAAACTTCGACTGATTGTTATGCCAGTTGTCAATATAAAATTCATATACACCTATATAATCTCATCTAAGTTAGAACAATCAATTCTATATATTACTGAAAGATAACAAATTAGCAAATGAAAAATATCATCGATAGAAGCATAAGAAGATATAAACCCAAAAAAATACGTAAAATGCTATATACTGAAAAATTAGAAGTCCTGTTCTTTTAATTGATAGCCCAATGCTAATCCAACATCCTCGCTAGCAATGGTGAAGAAATTATAGAACCATGCTTATTTGGACATATTCTTTTGGGATTAATTGCTTGTTCGGACATTGAATACAGGAAAAGGGAACCAACTACCTGCCTCAGTAATACCAGGCTACGTTCATCCTTGTAGTAAGGAGAATGCATTGGATCAAACTTCAAAAGGTCGGCATAAAGTTCAAGAATCTCTTCAGTATAAACCATTCCTTTAGCATGAGCAGATGATATTGAATCATAAGCAGTCAACATTCTTGCAAGGGTAAGCTTCCCGATTTTACTACAACACGCAAGATATAGGATTTATTCAAAAAGGAGAAAATGGAAGGAGAACAAGCTATCAAGGTCAGCAATGTACTGAATTGCGCTTACCAGTCACTCTCAGACAATAAAACTCGAAATGCATCTACTTCATTACCAATAGTCTCTGCACACCAATTGGATGTTGCTGGAATAATGTCACTGCCAGTAATTATATGATCAGACATCATGAAATCTGCTTGCTGAAAATGCTCATATTTTTGGAAATTATCATTCTCCCATGAAATCACTTTTCCACCCTGGTGATCAGCAGGTTCTGTGAAAGCAGTCTGCACACACAATTTAAAGGAAATTTGGGAAGGATGGCCATAATGATAACCACTTGAAGACACAATACCCTCATAATGTCCAATGATGATTTCAATGAGGTAAGATTTTGACAATTGAAGCTTCATATTTCTAAGGTTTAGATGCATAACCCAAACTTGAGCAGTATTTAAACTGTTCGTTGAAAGCGGTTCCCAATTAAGATCTATACTTAGTTCAGTTTTGACAGCTACTGTGGATGAGTTGATGCCTTCAACAGCTTGATCAAAATAAAGAATGACAGGAATTATTCCTGACTCTAATAACGAAGGATATAAAATAGATGAACCATAACCATGAAGGCCCTTATTTCCCTGAAGAGTGATATGAGATCCAGGGAAAGGCCAAGACGATACAAGTGTGGGAGCATCAGATTTCACTGTCTGATCAATAAGCCAAAGATGATAAAACCAGCCACTCTGATCATCTGGATCAGTGAAGAGAGCATTCTGGACCTGATTATACTCCTCCTCTAAAACTTTCTCTTTAGGGAAATATCCTTCAACCTCTCTTTTCATCAAATTAGACAGAAGAACACTGCAATATCCTCAAAAGGATATGTATGGATGAAATAAGTTTAACAAGAACCACATTTTCATCAATAAAACAAAAGTTTTGAATCGCTGAAGATGCAATAACAGTATGGATGTGACAAAAAGTAATAACATGGAGTGAAAAAAGATCGTTAATAACATACTAAAGTATGGTGCGTATAAATCAGACACTTCCCTGTGCTGATCAAATAGCTCCCATTTACATTCAACTGAGAAGCAATTTCACAATGTATGATGTTCATTTAATGACCTGAATGAATATGATTATACTTTAATAGGATACGGCAAGGCCAAGGAATCAATTTCAACACACAGGCAATAAATATATTGATATGAGCTTGTTTGTTTGTCTCCAGTTTACACCCAAAGATGTGCGTATTAGCGATGTCCCAGGCATACACTAGTATCTAAGGTAAAAGCTACTTTTTCTTCACAAATTGAGACACATAATGATATGGAATAAACCACAGATAAACAAAAGTGTTGTTTATTCCAAGACTATTTCTCATTCTCTTTAGAATGATAGAAATAAGAATGAACAAATCAATCTTATTTGTTAAGAGAGCAACATGCATGGTGCGACATTCCTAACATTTCAATTCCGTCCTAATTCATATGCTTAAATACACGCAAAGACAATTGGAAAACAGCTAATGGTAAAGTAACACGATGAGTGTATCTATATAGAAAAACAAAGCCAGCAAGACTGGAATGCCAACTTTAATAAGTACAGTTTTAGATCGTCATACCTACGGTTGTGCCATGCAGAGTAATTGCTAAAGTTTGTTCCTATCATTTGCTCAGTGTAATTTAACTCGTCCTCATCTGATCTTTTCATTAGTGCACAAACGAATCTGCAAGTAAAGTTAATCCAAAAAGGGTGCACCAGCTTATGAGAAGATCATTTAAATGCCATACTTTTGAATAAAGATAGGATATAGAGGGCAGAAGGATAAAACCTTCGGTAATTCCACGCGTGGAAATTTCGAGGATCAGCCTTCTGGAACCGATCCAGAAGGCGTAATTCATTATCCATTGATGAATAACCCTTGCTTAGTACCCATTTCCGATGATGCCATGCACCATAGGACTTGAAATTCTGCCGCAGTGCACTCTCTACCTAAAACAGATCATCTGAATCTTATTAGGATTACCTATTATGCACTTGCTTTTGAAATTCTAGGAAAACTAAGTATTTTTTATTTCGTCACAAAAAAAGAGAGAAAAAACTCTCCCGCCAAGTAAACCAAATTTCTGAAGTCGGTTCTTCAAACAACACCGATACCCACCAAAAGAAAATCCCATTTACAGAATATTTCTAATGTAAAACAAGAAGGGGGAAAAGAAGGGAAAATAGATAGAACGAGAAGAAACTCTAGTGAAAAAATATCCTTATTTGAATAACCTAATGGATAATCATAATATCTTAAATAAACTAATTATCCTAATTAATCATTATCGCATATTCCATCAATTTCCCATCAAGCAAAAGAATGGCGACAGAGTACTGAAGCTTATTTAGAAGAAGGACTCATTAATTTTTGAATCAATAGAGAGTGAAAGCGTACCACTTTGAGTTCCTCATCGAAAATGGATTTGATAGTGTCAGGATTAGACTCGGATTGAGAGACGCGGTGTTCAACGGCTAGCTTTCTGTAATTCCAAGCCGTATATGATTCAGGATTAATCTCCAGCAACCTAGCGCTTATCTCTAGAGCTTCCTTACTATATCTGCAAGAATTCATATAATTCAAATTGGAAATCAATCTACTTGAAATACACAAGAATTAGAGAGAGAGGGAGAGAGAAGAACAACAAACACGCGATTATGGTGATTGGCGAGAAATTGAGACTGCAGCAAACGAAGCTTTTCAGCTTTGGCCGTTAAAGCTGCAACGTCGACTGGTTCCAAGGCTTTGCGAGGCCGACCGTGCATTTTTTGTGCACGGACAAACAGGTACTATGCAAAAATGGCAATGAAAAGAAAGCGAGGAAGCAAACAAATTGGGGGTGTTTTAGGCGAGTCAGCTCTATAGTGGCTGTAGTTGAGGAACGCTAGATTGCTTCAGCGACTTCAATCGTTTGGAGTCTATTCTCTGCATTCAGGTTAGCAGGAAGCAGATCTACCGGTATATGATAACAACATTTCAGCTAGGCGACAACAAATAAAAATATATTCCTTGATTATTTTTCTTTTAATGTTGAATGTTAAAAAATAAAATATATTTTAAATATTTTAAAATGTAATTGTTTTTTTTAGTGCTTTTAAAAAATAATCAATTTATATTTATTTTATAATAAATTATTTCATTAAATAAGATTAAATATAAAAATATAGTGTTTGTTTGAATATAAATAATTTTTATTAAAAGTAAGATTTAATTAAATATATCTTAAGTGAAAGTATAATTCAGATTGAAAGTTCGAGATACTCTTGTAAATTTTTTCCATGCATTGTTTTAGAAATAAAATCTTTTTCATAATAACAATAATAATCATGTTAATTTAATTAAATTGGCATGGATATGCACGTTTTGTATGGGGAAACAGCAATTAAGAATCGCTGAAATAAATTTATATTTATTGAAAATTATTTATTATTAAAATTTAAATAAATACTTATTAATTTAAGTTAGTCTTTTATCAATAAATATCTATTTGAGTTTCAATAACAATATATTTTAAATTTACAACCAACAATTTAAACTTATTTTGTATTTAAGTTTTAACAATAACTATCTTTAATTGGAATAAATTTGCTCCAATTGTCTTAATTGCTATTTTTCCATTTTGTATTTATCCCTATTGCATATAGACTATGGATGCAATGTATTTATTGACTTCAGTAAAATAGCACTCACCTTTTCTTACGTTGCACAAGAGCATTTCCTTACATGTAAAACTTAGTATTATTTTTAATTTTATGGAATTGTTTTACATTATAACAAGATAAAACGTGAACTTTATGAAATCTATATCACTTAATTATAGTGCAATCAACGTATATGAAAATATTACCAATAATATTTGTAATTTATTAAATAAGCAATAAACAAGTTTTACCAAAAAAAAAAAGACAATGAGCAATAAAAATGATATTAACTAATTAAATTCTCAATTATTACTAATAAGGTTTTTGCATGGAATGAAAGGGCGGTAACATATTCCAAGATATGCTCGTTCTCGCTATTTTGTTCCGATCCTTCACAAAACAATGTGTTCCAAGTAACGATATTATACGATATATATATATATATATATATATATTATTTCTCAGTTTTATAATTTTTTTAATCCAGAAGATCCTATCTTTTATTGAAAAAATAACTAAACATACGTATATTTGTGGAAAAAAACATAGATAATCATTTTTTATTATAACTTCAAACTTATTCAGACATTAACTGTTGGCAATCGCTGGTGAAATTTAGTCTGAGTCGTGTCCAAGGACACTATCCATAAGAGCTATTTCGCCACATCGGGTTGACCACGCGACAGTTTTTCAGGACTAAATAGACTCTTCCTTCTAAAAGTAAGGATATAAAACAATTGAAATTTACAGAATATATTCAGATAACTAAACAATGAACTAATCCGACAAAAGAAGAGAGAAAGGTCGAGAGTACCAAGGCTCTCTCTAAACCTGTGGCAAACATTGCCTTTTATAGGCAGATCTCATAATATTGGGCAATAAAACTACCTTAATCACAATTAAAAAATGATTTCAAATAATAATATTGTTTCAATTATATGTTATAAAATAATAAATAGACTTAAATAATAATTAATATTATCAATTTATAATAATTTCTTTTGAAATACTAAAAAATATTTATAATATTCAATAATCCCCCACATATTTCGAAAGAAAAAAAATTTTTCTTGAAAATTATTTTATACAAATAATTTATAACTCCACGTACTAGTTTTCAAAACTTTAGAAAAAATGCCCAATTTGTTTGATACCACATTTAACTCACTTTTTCTTTAAGCTCATTTACTTGCCAAGCTCATACCTTAGTATACATAAACTAAGACCTTCATTTATTTGAGCAACATGGGACTTTCCTTTTTAACACAATTGTAACAATCCTCCACATGTGTCAAAAGGACCACTATCATCTGAGTTATTTTCACAAAAAATAATCACTTTGAATTTGGTGTCTTTCGACTTGAATAAACCTAGATTGATAAAATTTAACACACAAAAAAGTCGGTGTAACTTTGTTATTAAACCAACAGATCTTGGTCATGTGCTAGAGGTCTTATTAGTCAGATTATACTCCCACAATTTTCATTGTTGTTAACACGGTTTTGCACGTTATCGGCCATACGCGTGCCTAGTTTTAACAAATGCTCTAGAGATTTCGCCACGATCTCATAAGAGCGGCCCCACTCCACATTTGTATAAGTGTTTTTATCAAGTGTATCTGTAATGAATACACTATCCATAAAGATTATGAAAAACATTAAGAGTTTTCGCTCAACTTCTGATCAATGCATTCTAGCACTTTTTCAGGGTATATGAAGGGATAAAAAATTCAGTGTTAGTAGAACTAACAAGTGACTTGTTCTTACCCATTGAACCTTTTTCATGGGATCTCTAATCACAAAGATTGGGTTGCCAACACCATTAATTTCAAACAGGCTTAAGTCCTATTGTCCTCGATGTTTCAATAATAAATTTCTTTCCTAGGGGCTTAGTTAACGGATCCGTCAAATTTACATCTGATTTTACATAATTGATTGAAATAACTTTTTCTTTTAGCATGCTTAATTGTATCTCAAATGATATTTATCTATGCCATTATTCTCTTTGCAATGATTATCACCATTTGGCCATTGTTCTCTTTACAATGATTATCGCCATTTGGCAATTACACAAATCATCGACATGGCTTGTGTCGGTTTTACTCATAGTAAGATATTCATTGAGAAGTTTCTTAACTACTTAACCTCATTATTAGCCAACTTCAGATTAATAAACTCTGACTCAAATAATATTTTATTTGGCTGCTGGATTTTTTTCATTTGAATATAAAATTTGATTAATATCATTGTATTGTCTTAATACAATGGAAATCTATTATACATGATACCACCATTTATGGTATCCCTCAAATACTTATTTGTCTCATGCTCTTATGAGACTTAATCTCCATGCAACGTATGTTATGGGATTAATACTTATTAATGCAACAAACTTTCAAAAATTTGTGCATACACAAATTGAGCAACAAAAATATATCATTCATTTTTTTAAATGACATATCAACCTGATAAGAATTCATTGACACTATGTGTCAGTTTTACACAATAAAATAATTACTTAGATGATCTCTAGCAACTTAGCCTCCAATCCAATTTCAAATTAATGAGCTTGGACTCTACTATTCTCAATTCCATATTTAAAAAAAAATAGTTATCTCATAAGATCATAATATAAATCATTATTCATAAAAATGAATATTGATGCCAAGATAATTAAACAGGTCACGTACCTATTTTAAAATACATTTATCTACACTAGACAAATGATGAAATTTATACCACCATTGTAAACTTTTCCCCTCATGCAAATAACAACCTCCTCTTAATTAATCAAAACACAAAACCATATCTTGGCATTTATAAAGTGAGTCTAATTATTTAGTATAACACACATTTTCTTTTGCAATAGTTTTTGCAAGATATCTCACCATTTTAAATATATTTCAATAACAAGAAAAATATTTAATACCTGATTAATAATTATTCTAATTGAATTAGAATTCCATCATATAATCTCTTCCCATTCTAATTAAATTAGAATTTCTCATAATTTAAACTCACCATGCATAAACCCATGCACATAGGCCTCATATTTTGGATATTAAAACTTGTGAATGGATTAAAACATTTTCAAGCAACATCCATATAAAGCAGCACAATTGTGTAAGCAAACACCATGTGATTTCTCATAACAATAAATTTACTACACAAAAGCACCAAAACGTTTATGCTTTAAATAAAACATCAATAAGTGTTGGATATTATTGTGTAACCACTTTACAATAATTCATTCACTTTTAAAATACAATAAACACCACATTAATGTCTAAATAACTGAATAGTATCATAACTAGGGAATCATATATAATCCCCACTTATAAATAACATTCACTAAATTACAAATATTTAATTTACAAAAAAAATGTCTCCCATCAATGGGCATATACTGAATATAATACCATAGAAAATTGCAACATCTACCAATTTATGTAAATAAAGCATCAAGCTTTAATGCCAACCTTTCAGACAACTAACATGCGCATGATTTAAATATAATCAAGTCTTATCATTGATTACTAGGTGCCAAATGACAACTGTGCCTTTCTTTCATTGGTATTGTAACAAATACTAGCATTAATTTTTGAAACTCCAAATGGTATTTTTGGCTAACAATCATTTTACAGTTTAAAGTATATACGTTGAGACTTAATCTATTAAAATTTTCCATTTTATTAGCCTCAATATTTATAAATTTGAAAGCTTAGTATGCCTCTTTATAAACAATCCATAACACCCAACAATTATTAAGGAACCATGAATGCCAAAAGAGAACCGAAATTGGCACTTACATAGGTCATGATTATTGATAACTCCTTAAGAGACATCTAGCATCCTCTATTGCTAAAAACTTTGAATGCATACATGATACACCTAACACTTGGATATAACAAGAAAACTATATATTTGTGCGTGAGGCCTAAATCACATCAATATTATTGAACCCAAAAACCATCCTGAACTAGGTGCAGTGAAAAGCTAACAAGGAAGAAACATGCACTGATGACAAGAGCAATAGGGAGAAATAGCAAAACCGAAAGCTAGAAACAAGCAAAAGTAAGAAAATCATCTTAATGATTTTTTATTTTATTTAACTCTACCATCAGATTTGAACATACCTCAAGACTTTTCTATTTAATCATTATATTTCTCATAATAAAAATATAGTTGAGAATATCACTTATCTCATTTCAACAGATCTTCTCCTCATTTCAGCAATTTTTAGTTGAGAGTGTTCGCCATATATCAAATGCATGGCACAAGGTTGAAGTGAATCTAGTTATAGGGCAGAC